GTAAGAGCCATACTCCATGGAATACATATACCATTTTCCTTTAAGAAATTAACATTAGTTCATTCCTTAATAATCAATCAAATACGTAGACCCAATCCTATTATTTTATAAATTCAGGTATAGCAAAAAAAAAAGAAGTTATACATGAAGTTAACACACACACACACACACACACACACACACACACACACACACACACACACACACACATATATATATATATATATATATATATATATATATATATATATATATATATATATAGATTTTGAATCCGGTGCACTCCCCCTTGTTAGATGAGCTCGTGAGTCCCTTTGCTGGCCGTTTATTAGTTCAATTTAAGGGTTCAGATTAAGTTTGCTTTTTTGCCATGTGCCTTTGATATGTCAGGATGGGAGGGGCTGTTTTGTACTTTCTTAATGGGTTTTATTACGGTGTATTTAATTCTCTCCCAATTCAAGGATTCAGATTCATTGGTTGTCTCTCCCACTTTTTTCCTTTCTCCACGTTGTATCTCCTTTGTTTTCTCCCTCTCCGGGCATAGACGTTTTTGGTGGCGTTCATCATGGATGGTTCGAGTTTCCGGCGATCTAAGAGGCTATGGAGGTCATCTGTGGGTTCCATTGCAGGTATTCTCAATCGCCCTTTTTAGTCGTTTCTTTTGTGGTTTGATTGCAAGGGTTGGGGGTTTTGTGGTCTGTGTTCGATTGCAGGGGTTTGGTTTTTTTGATCAGGTGTTTCATTTTCGTTGTTATTTTTTGGGGTTTCCTTTTTTTTTTGGGCGGTGGGGTTGTCGCTGCTTGTGTGTCTTTCGAGGGTGGCCGGACGGTGGCAGTTCAAGTCTGCGCGGCGGGTTGCGTTAATCAACCAAATAAATACCCATATGGGGTGTGTGCGTACATCCCCCTTAGTCTGTGCATAGTGTTGTAACGTGACCGGGGTATTGGCATGCCTATGGTATTATAATGTATTTTTCCTTGTATTTGGTTAGAAATCTTTGTTTCTCAGAGTGAGCATGAGTTTTTCACGTATTTCTAGAATCTTTTTGTTTCGAGATCAAATATTTATATTCATTGTATTTTTGGAATGCAAAATTTTTTACTGTGTTTTTTTTTTACTCTGGTTTGTGCGTAGTGTATGTACGCTTGTGCACTTTACTGTATAACTTTTTATTTCCTGGTCCCCGATGTGTATAGTCGCGTTTCAGCATACTCTGTGCGTGGTCAATTTATGGCATGAGTTTTTGTCGTCGTGTGCATATTAGTGTAGATTTGGTGTTGGGTTTCTCCATTGTTGGTTTGTAATGGATTTTTATATATGCATGTTTGTATTGGGTGTGAAAAATTGTTGAAATTTCTGGTATTGGGTATCGCCATTTGAGGTTTATTCTTTTAAAATTTCATGGTGTGTGTGTTCTTGCGTTAGTGTACGTGTTGACAATATTATGTTATTTTAGCTGGTTTTGGGGCTTACAATGTTTGGTGACATGGCGTTTGCGTAGTGGTGTCTCACTGTGTGCGTTGCATTATATCCCTTTGTGTATGTGTATTTAGAATGTGAAGTTAAATTCAATTTTTAAGGTTGGTTTGCACCAAAAAAAATAAGGTTAACTTGTATGTATTGTCATTTTCATTTACAATAGTCTATTGTCAAAAAAGGGGTATAGTTGGTTATAATTGAATGTTTGGTTGCTAATTCTGTGTGTAGTGGTGACTCACTATGTGCATGTTGCATTAATCTGGACTTGACATTACAGGGCTTTTAATTGGGGTGCCTGAACATTATGGTCTGTGTTCGATTGTAGGGGCGGGCTTCGAAGGGGTGATGCACGGGCCATGCTTGCACTACGCGCGCGCTTTTGTACGAAATTCTACTATTTCTGGCTAACACACACCGTGTATCAAATATCAATTGTGTTGTGTGTTCCGGGGGCATGCTCGTTGACACCTTATATGCTGTTTAAAATACTTTATGTTTGTCTCTTCATTTTTATTATGATGACTTTTGACGTATTTCGTTTATTTTAGTTAATTTGAACCGTTTTTTTTAATCAACTCTGAGTAATGCAATTTCCCCTCTCCTCGTATTCATTTTTTAACAATTTGATTGTGTTATTCTATTCCATGTTAATGTTCATATCTGCAGACGCACATGCTTTTCCAAGCATACGCCCGTTCTTATGCAATCACAGACACACCAATTACACGCACATGCCTGCAACTATAAAGCTGCTTGCACAAACTATTACCCACAATCGCACATACGTGGAACCCTTCAAAAACACGTTCCCACATACACGCACACACCTTCACACATACTCGCACACACTAACATGTATAAAAAAAAAATCGTGGCATAGTAAATCAACCAAATAAATACTCATACGGGTCTAATTCAACCAAATAACTTCCCGGGCACAAACCTACCAACATACACACACACACTAGTGTCTATAAAAAATACGTTTCATAGCAGACCAACAAATAATACCTATATCGTCTAATTCATTCAAAATGAATTAAAAATATCATTACAGGCACAACCCTTTATAATAATTATTTTGGATACAAAATGAAGAACAAACAAATTTCAAACCCCCCTAATCTACAACATGCACATGCCAATTTAAACACACGCACACACCAATAGTCTACCCATTACTCAACTGCTTTTGCATTCTTCTTTTTAATAAAAATCAGAAACAAAAACCCCCCAATTGCTTCGTGTTCCCGTTACATATTAATTGTTCAAAATACATCAACAAAACACAATAACAAATGCGTTAAATGTTCGTTCGCACATGCCATAGGTCCACAATGCACAAACCGACATTCAAAATCAATTTACAATTCAAAACAGCATCACCTACCCGTGGTAGTTCTCGCCATCTTCAACCTCTGGACTGTTTGTGTGCTTCAACACAGTTTGTTCACGGTTTGACTGTTACACCTACTAACAACAATGGATTACTACTACTTTCCATTAATTTTGTGATCTTTCATTATGTCAAAGATTCCAATCTATTTCTAACCAAAATTAGCACATTAATACAATTAATTTTAAACCTCCCTATTTAAAATATGTCCTTATTTATATTATATTCCTCATTCAATCTCATCCATCCATTACAAATTAACAAATGGATGGGATGTCTACGCACATACTTTTTGTTGTCTACGCATCATCCCGCCATCATATCGGTCAAACAAATAACCTTGTACGCACCCACCTGAACACGAACACGCTACGCTCGTCAATGGACTACTACTTCGTCCAACAACCACACCCCCCTCCCACACCCCACCGGAGAAAAAAACCCATTCTTTAGTATATGCACAGACGGTGACATATAAATGCACTTACCAGTACTGATACTAGCCATTTGAGAAATGTGCTCCAGCTTTGTAATAATTGAAACTATTAATTTCCATCCACAAATCCCTAAAATAATGCTTCACATTCCAATAATATTATGTCCATAAATAAATTAGAATTACAATTACTAATATAACCTTTACATTGGTAAATGTCCTTAATTACTACTCTAATTTATTATAATCTCAACCATTGATGGAAATTGAATCAATGGATATTAGGAGGCCTCATGGTCTCATCTATTAGAGGAGGTGCACCGGATTCGAAGCCTATATATATATATATATATATATATATATATATATATATATATATATATATATATATATATATATATATATATATATATATATATATATGGGAAAAAGTTCCCGTGCGGCGGTTACAGAATACACCAACAGTGTAAGGGAAACGCATCACAATGAAATGCAAAAAAATATCACAGAATACACAACAGACCCAAAAAATACATCATATAACTCATCACACCCCAATTGTGTATTTCTGAACACTGTATGGTGTTTTTACTCACACCTAATGATGTGTTTTTGGTGATGCGTACCAAATATGTGTGTATTTTTGTGGTGTATTTTTCTAATGTTGATGGTGTATATTTGTTGAACTATTGGTGACGCTGCACCGTCGCATCTAAGGACACCGCCGCACCTGAACCCAATAAAAAAAAATTAAGTATTTTCTTAAATATAAAATAATCAATAACAGTATAATGGGATAATGGGGAAGGAAATTAAGAGAAGTAGGAAATTGAATTATTAAATTGGGTCCATTATATATATATATATATATATATATATATATATATATATATATATATATATATAAAAGTGTTCACCATATCTCCATTTAGGGGTGAGCATGGATATACTAAATCATTCCAATCCAATGTACATCCACAAAGTAAATGGGATGTGAATCCACCCAACAAAAATATGTCACTAATGAATTAAATGGGATATTTGAAAATTTATTGTCATTTTTATTTTTGAATGTTTAAATTCTTATATTATTATTTTATTTTATTTTATCTTTTTTACCTTAGAATTTTCTTTGACTAGCATCAAATATGTCATTGGTGGATTGAATTGCATGAGATCAACACCCCTAACGAATGCATATACTACACCAAAGCACATCTATCATTCACCTTAGTAAACTAGGACTACATAGGGATAAATGCACTTTTAAATTACTGAAAGTAGTAAAAGAAAGAGGCTATTAGTAAATGAGTAATACTACACACTCTTTTATCTTTTTTTTACCCAGATATTTAACTTTAATTGATTCAAAAAAAAAAAAAAAAAACAGTTCATAAATGAGCTCTCTTCGTGAGGGAGAATTTCGGAATAACCCGAGTTCGATTTCTACAAACAACTATTTCCCGGGTCAGCTCCCAACCTCTCGGAGCTAATGGGGATTAGAAAAAGAACGCTTTCATAAATTTTACTCAATCACTTTTTTTTTTACAAAATTAAACTCATATACTTAGATAGAGTTACACTCCACCTGAATACATCTATCATTCACCTTAGTAAACCAGGATTACATATGCACTTTAAAATTACTGAAAGTAGTAGTAGTAAAAGAAAGATGAGAGATAATTTCTCATCATCTAAAATAATTCTAATCTGGATCTTGCAAGTCTGAGCACCTTCTCAAAGTGGTGGCCGGTATCCGGCGGATGGGCCTCAATTCTTGCCCTGTCCGGCACCACCCACCGCCCGTCGCTAGTCCTCACCATTCCTTTGTTCTCATCTTGCCTCCAGTAAGGCGGCACGTCAAGCTCACGCTTCAAGAAGTTGGAGTCCTTGTTCACAAGCGCAACATCCCGGCCGGTCGCCGACCTGAACGGCTGATCCTTGCCGTGGAACCCGTCGACGAGGTGCAAATGGGCTTCCAGATTATGCGCACACCCTATATCGCCACTTTTCTTGAGGAAAGGAGAGTGGGTATGATCCAAAGCCAACTCCACTCCCACATGAGCATAGCTCCATGGAAATTGCAGAGTTTTCTCTAGCTGTTTCTGGTACTGAAAATTCTCGTTTGCGATGATCCCCGGCACCGTGGGGACCTTGTCGTGAACGTTCACCACCCGCAAGACCCTAATCCCGAGCTCTTCACACCGTTCTTTAAACCTTAAGTTGCCCACGCGGGGGCCGGCGAAGGAGAAAACGGTGATCGGGATTCTCGTGAGGGAGTCGTCGTCGTCGTGCAAAATGTTCACTTTCATCTCCGCTATGTCATAAGCGCTTAGCAAAGCCAAGGAAGCTCCCAGGCTATGCCCGGTGACCGTAATGCTAAGCTCCTCGCCTCTGTACTTCTCTATCAACCGGTTCACTTCCGAGAGGACCTGTTCCCGGGCAGAATAGGTGCAGAAATTGCAGGATTTCTCTTTCTTGGTGTAGAGGTCGAAGAAGCCGGACTCGATCTTGATGTCCGGGTCGTCGCGGAAGTGGGCGGGGTGGAGGATGTTCTTGAGGTCGTGGATCCACTCGAGGTAGGTGACGGTGCCGCGCCAGGCGATGACGATGTCGCGGCGGCCGAGGCGGCGGATCTCGTCGGGGTCGGTGGCGACGGCGACGTAGCCCATCCAGTTGGCGTGCTGGCTCCAGATGCTGCTCACGGTGGACATCTGGAAGAAGTTTGGGAGGTTGATGTTGGAGGTGGCGTAGAGGTAGCGGCTGATGTCGTAGCCGCGGTGGGCGATGCCGAGCTTGTGGAAGAAATCGGCGGCGGAGTATTTGCAGGTGCCGCAGTATTTGGAGTGGGGGTCGAAGTCGAAGGAGTCGTAGCAGGCCTGAGCGAACTCGCCATAGCGAATGATTTCTTTGCGGAGATGAGAGTTCATGGGGTCTAGTAACCCTTCCCAGTGATCCAATCCTTGGATTAGCTTCCATATTTTCTCAAGAGGCCTTTGGTCTTCCATGTATTCTTCTACTATTTCTTCTTGTGCTCGTTCTTCTTCTTCTTCATTTTCTTGGTGGGGTGGTTGTTGTTCAAGCTGCGGTGGGGGTAGGCTTGAAAGGGTTGAACACTTGAGGGAAAACTGGTGAGATGATGACCTAAGGGAAGAAGAAGAGGGTTTTATGGGGAAGAAAGAGACTTTGTTTAATGATAATAAGCCATCTTCAAAGCTGCAGGGGAGGAGTTTGGGGTTGTTGAGAGAGAAATGGAGAGAAGTAGCCATGAAAGAAAGAAAGAAAGAAAGTGTTGTGGTTGCCAATATGATGATGGGTTATTGATATGCAGGCCAGGCCAGACTGCATTATTGTGAACTCATTTTCTTTCTTTTCGTTTTTGGGTGGCAGATTGTGGGAGAAATAGATAATAAGTAGTGAAAAAAACCTGAACCTCACGTTGTTCACATGAAACAAACAAATTAAATTAAAGCTTATAAGGTCTGGGCCTAGACTGTTCTAATCTGCTCCAGGAACACATCACTACATCAGTAGTTCATCACTCTTAATTATATATTATATTATTTGACTTGTCTTTCTTTCTATTGAATGAAACATTGCTACTACTCTAAATCAGTAACTCCCAATAAAGAAGGGTTATGTTGAAGCCATGCATAAATTGAAGTGTTATAGAATTTATATATTAAACAGAATTGGACTACCTTAGCTTCCAGATGATCATGAGTCAATGCAATCATGAATGCTTTGATGTCTTGGGTATATGCATGTAGAAAGCCTCTTTTACAAGTTATCTAATTACCCATGAATATTTTATAAACTACTTTCTTCCATCTCATTTTATGTGTTCCATTGGGTTATCTAAACTTGATTGAAGTTATTTTTAATTCAATTTTTATAATATTAAACTTAGTATTAGTATATATATAATTTATATATTATTAAACACAACAAATCAAATTTAAAAAAAAAAAATATTTTAAAAAATTAAAACAAATAAAAAAAAGAGTTTGTTTGAGCAATGAATTGAACAATAGACATGACAATTAAAATGAGAAGGATGAGTATCATATTTTCAGATTTATGCATAATAATTAAGGAATTTTTCTTACCACACTATGACTAATCATGTTCATTTTAGATAGGCGACAAAGCACTCCCTTATAAATTTTAATCTCTAGTTAAGTTGGAGGAGACATGTCTCATTCATAAATTTGAGGGAATTCTATATAACACCTTAATTTAAAATCAGTATGAATTTAATATTATTATTGTTGGTTTTATGACTACCCAGGGTAGTTAGTTGACGGACCAATATTACTGATTAGATGAGAAAATATAAATAATTGAAAGGGAAAAATGGAGGAGACATGATATTTTTTACGTGGAAATTGAATGGTATGTAAAAATCACTGATCTTTTGGACGATGCCAAGCTAAGATCCGCTATTTTTTGTAGATAGTTTTTGTATATGCACAAGTGTGATCTCTCTCCTTTTTCTTGCTAGAGGGTAGAAGTTTTTCCCTCACAATATACTTTCCCCTCCTACGGGGTATTTATACATTTAGAATTGGAATGAAAATATGGTAACAGATTTTCTAATATCTATAGAGTGTCGATCTGAATTCTCACTTTACAGTTGGCCGTCGGGCTAATGACCACCTTCCTATATATCCTGACTGCCAAGTAATGCCAATTGTGTACCCGAAGCTGGTATCCATCAATTATTAAAAACTAAAAAAATGTGGTAGTAAAAATTAATTTAAGAAATCTTCAAAAAAAAAAAAAAATTAATTTAAGAAGAAGAAGAAGACAAAGATTTCACATCGTGATTGCTTAACTAACAGGGTCTTGTTCAGTCCGTCTGAGACGCTGGCTCCCACCACTAAGCAAAATGATTGATTTTAATGTGCTCATATTTTTTTGAAAACGATTTTACAATGTGATATTATTAATTTTTAATAATACAAACAAGTACTATGAAAATTGTTTTCCTTATTTTAATTTCCGTCTTTTTTAAGTGACTGGTATTAATTTGGTGGCATACAGTCAAAACCAAAAAACCTAGTTAAGACCCAAATTTACATGTAATGATTTTTAGTAAGATGACTCAAATCAAATTATCCAATCATTATACCATAGACCATGATTCACTATGTAAAGTAGACCACTTACCTAAGGTACATTTTTAATACATTAAAGATTCATTTTTTTAAAGATAGATTATTTGGTATACTACTAAATAATAAACCTTAAAAAATGAACATTTGTTTATGGTCCATAGTATAATTTGCCTCTTGCCGTTGTATTTAAGACTTGCTTAGTTGCTTCTGGAGTTCTAGCAACAAGATTGGGTTTGAATGGGTTTAGAATGGATATTTTTTGGGCATAAGTATATAGGGTCAGGTTCCCGTACGGACAATGCTTCTCGTGCAGCCGTGCAGTCACGCATCATTAGATAGGCATAAATGCATCACAAGGTGTTTGAAAGTGCATTTTTTTGGTGTGTGGTGCATTTTTTTGTGCATTTCATTCTGGTACATTTTTTAACATTGTGGTGTGCATTTATGCGTATTCCTAATGGTGCAATTTGCACCGGCCACACCGAAAACAGTCCACTCAAACTACACTGAAACCAGGGGTTTTCTTCATGTTTTGGTGAGTCATTGATCTCCTCAGTGTTGCAACCCCCTGCCATTTCCCAGCAACAGCATAAACATTAGACAACAAAACATGGTCACCGGAGTTGTTAGGGTCCACCTCCGACAGCCTTTGTTTCACCACCTCAGCTAACTGGACTTCACCATGGAAGCTGCAAGCGCCCAGAAGTGTTCGCCAGATGATGGCGTTGGGTGGGATAGGCATTTGGGTGATGAAATCATAAGCCTTCTTCAACTGCCCAGCCCTGCTGTAAAGATCAACCATGCAACCATAGTGCTCCATATCTGGGTTCATGCCATATTCTCTGCTCATTCTATCGAAAATGTGTTGGGCTTCTTGGATCAGACCGGCATGGCTGCATGCGTACAGGATTGAAACGAAGATGACCCCGTCGGGTTTAGTTCCAGTGGATTCCATCTTGTGGAAAAGCTGCATCGCCTCCTCGCCATGGCCTTGCATTATGAGACCTGTGATCAGACAAGTCCAAGAAATGACACTCTTCTTCCCTGGGATTCTCTCGAAGATTAAGCGAGCCATAGCCACGTTCCCACACCTAGCATATGTATCCAGAAGTGCATTGTTCAGTGATGTAATCCACATCATCCCAGCTTTCTCTGTAAATCCATGGAGAGTTTTTGCAAATTCAAACTCCCCAGCTTGGGCACAGGCAGATAGAACCCCTGTCAAGCTCACCTCATTTGGACTCATTCCTTCCCTCCTTAATTCCCTGAAAACCCGAAACGCCTCGTAAAAATAGCCATTACATGCGAACCCGAAAATCATAGTGCTCCAAGAAACACAATCTCTTCTTGGCATTTGAGCGAAAATCGTCATGGCACAATCCAGTTCACCTGCTTTAGCATACCCAGCAAGCATCAGATTCCAAGATGTCAAGTCCCTTGACGGCATTAAATCGAACACTCCGTCTGCGCCCTTCAAATCACCGACCCGTAAATAAGCCGTAAGAATGGCATTCCAAGCAACCACATTCGGTTCAGACATTTCATCAAACACATTCCAAGCAAGCCCAATAGCTCCACACTCAGCGTACATGCTGATCGTGGTAGTCCCCACAAACAGATGGCGATCGAGGCCACGAGCCAAAGCTTGACAATGCAGCTGAGACCCACTCTTCAAGCACCTCATATTCGCGGCAGCTTTGAGCGTAAAAGCGAAAGAGAAGCTATCAGGAGGGAAATCCGAGCTTCGGAGCATGCAGACGAAGGTTTCCAGGGAATCCTGTGGGGAGTCGGACTCAGCGAGCCCGCGGATGAGTGTGTTGTACATGAAGACGTCTGGGTTTGGAATGTGGAGGAAGAGGCGGCGAGCGTAGTCGAGTGCGTCGCCTATATTCACCGCGCATTGAATGAGGAGCTTTCCGGCGATGAATTGGTCGGATTCCAGACCGGTCTTGCAGATGTAGGCGTGGAGTTGCTTCACGCTTTTCAGACTCCTGCAACTGCCCAAGAGCGAAAAGCATAAATTTCCGGTAGCGCTGTTCATTTATGCTGCATTTTCAAGAAGCAAAATAGAAATTTTTTTGGATCCAAACTGCAATCTTAAAGTATCCCAAATGTGCTTCTCCTAAGACATTAAATCCACAAGGATCTGTTCGCTGATATCTGTTCACTTTGAGCATAATATTTCAAACCTTATATTTTGATCTCTTCTTCAAAATACTGTCTAGCCGCCTACCTGTGAGTTAACCTAACCAACTTAGTTGACAGTTTTATCACTTAAAAGAGATCGAAGTTCAGAACACTTTATTCTTTAAAAAATGTCGGAGTTCAAAACTCCCTCTTATCCCCTAAAAGAGGTCCAAGTTTAAAATCCCCTCTCATACCAATATAGTAAGCACTGAGTGCCTCTTATAGTTAGGACCCCAATCCACTAATTAGTAAAAAAGGCTTTTTGAGAGTGGCTGCATCTACTGAAGCTAAGATGCACAAGGGGGCAACCCAAAATCAAATCTATGATCAAAGCTGTCTGTTGAAAGGCATTCTATTCTGTTCAAGGCCTATTTCTACTTGAATTCATATTAAGATTACCACAAATGCATTAGGAAGCACAACAAAAATTCTGGTTAGTCACAAAACTTCTCATAACTTCAAAAGAAAAACAGACTGTTTAAGCAACATGATTCTAACTTTCTAAGCTGGCAAAATCCTTAAAATGAAGTTCTCCAACATCATTAATTGTTTTCTGTTTCCAAAGTGACAAGCCACACCTCATTCTTCACTTTTTGATATTTTTATTTTGGATGTCAGACAAGGTGTCAAGGACCTCATTCTTCATCCTCTTCATCACCATCACCCCCAGAAGCCTTCTTTGCGGCAGCCTTCTGGTTCTTTCTCTTCACTCTGCCAGGGCGTCCACCACCGAAAGGACTAGAGAGAGAGAAATCAATGTGTTTCTGGGAGTCCATTCTAACCAAAAATGAGGGAACATTCACCACCTGCCTTCCAACCCTGAAGTTAAATCAAAACAAACACATTTACAAACAAATACGGAGAAAAGTAGGCACATGTAATTTGAAACATCTAAAACCTAGTTAACGCTTTACGCCTTTACATAACAAGGCTCACTACCCACAAGATGAACCAATTCTAATTTGTAAACCGAAAACCAGTAATTAGTAATAGTAAGAAATTGCTAGTATTCATCAGCAAAGTGTTGCCATTTCCTTTCAAAATCATAAAATATTAACATCTTTTGCAGCATGTATTTAACATGTGTGTACAAAATGTATTTATAAAAATGCAATCCAAAAAATGGAGGAAATAAAAGTTACCTTACAGGTTTACACTAGTAATAATGAAGAATGATTATAATTATTAACTCTAATAATCCATTATGTTTGGTTTATAGGCTTACATAAGCTCAAATATCCCACAATCTTGTTTTCTTTTAACAATACTTGCCAAACTTGTAACAGGTAACTTACTTAACCTATAATCCCCAATAATTAGATTATTTAGTCCGATAAAGACAACCATTACTGGTAGTATTCCTTTTTTAGGCCAAGGAGTTCAAACTTAAATCCAAATAAATAGAATCCTCAGTAGTATTGTAAGACCTGTAATATCTTTTCCAGATCAAGGTGATGCAAAAAAACACATATTTATTATATGCAACAAGCATTCTATACCTATAACTCCTTAACAGACACACTGCATCAGATAAAAAGTTCCGGAGTATGTTTTAACATGTTATGATATACATAGAGAGCATATTCAGAACTATGCCATGATTAGAATGGTTATATTTACCTGATATGCTTTTGCCTAATTAGAACTCTGGCATGATGGATTGATTTTGCCATGCCAGCCTTGAAAACGAGAGTTTGGAGACGGCGTTCAAGGAAGTTCTCCACAGTGAGGGCAAGGACATAATCAAGCTTGTTCTGGCTCTCATCCAACAAACCATACCTGTTCATTCTCCTCAGGAGGGCATCGCCCTCAAAAATACGGCGTGGGTCCTTCTCATCAAGAGTAAGAAGCATTCTTGCATTATTCCTGATTCGGCTCAAAGCATACTGTACTCTCCAAAGCTCCCTCTTGCACCTAAGACCATACTCACCCAAAAGTTTCAACTCCGCATCCAAACGCTCTTTCTCATATGGACGTCGAGGCTTCTTGAATGTCTTTCCATCTACAGTTCATAGCATACCATAAATGAGGTAAAATATAACCTTAAAAAAAAAAAAATTAAAAAGCTAGTAGTTACAAACTATCTAACTTTTTTTTCATTAATATAAGATCTGGATGACAAAGCAAACCAAATGTGCCTCAAAAATTCATCAAAAAATGTTGGGAAACACAATCAGATGGGTGAATAACAACTACACCTTTTCATTTGACAGTTTTTCTTCAATTTACTAGAGATCATAGACACATAAGGATTTTAAAATTTATAAAAAGAAAGTGGAAAATAAATTAGTTCGTGATACTTCTTTAGTTCAAGTATTTCCAGAGACATGATGAATTGCACGCGTTGATATGCAATCAAAATTAAAACAGGTACGGATTATTAAATTTACCACCAGAAGACACACGAGTCGTATCATCTAGACTATAACTACGCTTTTTGAGTAAAAATGTAATGGCCTCGATTAAAATACATTTGAACAGAGAGTAATTAATAAATTCCCATACTGAACGAGATGAACAAAAACAATAATATACACAAGCACGCAAAATGATTCAGATCATGCCAAAAGCAAAAGTGAATGCATACAGACGTATATAGGAAAGAACATATAGAAAAGAAAACTGACAATTGCGGTAAAAGTTGACGTGAACCATGCTGCTAAGCCGCCGCACACGGCGGTGTGATCCTCAGTCCGGTGCTCAAGGTGCAATCTGGAGTGGAGACTAGGGTTTCCGCTGAAGAAGAAGCGCGGCGAGAGTGCTGTATGAGTTTATGTTTTACGGAGGAATTCTTGACGGGATTTTACTTGGGCCATACGGTTTTTCTGATAATCCGTATTCTAGCCCAAGAAAACTGTTATAAGGCCTTTGGATCATGTTCATTTATCCGGAACGATATTCTGGGCAACCGTGTGCACCATGCAAGTTGCACACGGTTCCAAATTCATAACTTTTATACTATAAATTCATAATTTATATACTATAGATTCATAATTTCTATGTTGTAGATTCATAAAATCTATATTGTAGATTCATAATTTCTAAACCGTAGATTCATAATTTCTATACAATAGATTTATAATTTCTGCAGATTCATAATATCTGTACTGTAGATTCATAATTTCTAAACTGTATAGTTATCAAATTATGAAGATATAGCTCTGTAATTTATGAATACAGAGTTCAACAATTGGGAATATAAACATTGAAAATTATAAACATAGAGTTCTGTAATTGTGAATATAGAATTCAATAATTATGAATATAAAGTTCAAAAATAATGAATATATAGCTTTATAATTATGAACATATTGTTCAGTAATTATGAACATAGAACAGTGTGCACCATGCATGATGCACACGATTACACAGCATAGTTTGCCCATTTATCCCGCTTTATAATTACAAAACACAAATGCATGAAAGCTCATGTCCAATATTAAAACCACAATCATATTGAGAATGTGTCAATGTGCATTTGTTAAATTATAAAGTGCATTTAATTATATGTAAAATACACACAAAATTTGTAATTTAAAAGTGAATTGTGCAAAATTATAAAAAGCATCAGATGATATGTAAAATTACATACAGTTGGTTATCATATATACTTTTACATATCATCATATGTACTTTGTAATTTTACGTGATGCACTTTTAGCAATTAAAGATTTGTAATATTTATGAAATTGTCTCTTCATTGTCATCCTTATTTTAGAGTCATTGATTATTGAGTAATTACCTAAAATAGTCCCTTGACTATAGCTAAATTCACAAATTGATCATCGACTTTCAATTTCAACAAATTAAGTCCTTAACTTTGTAATTTTAACACAATTTGGCCCTCTTTCTATTTGACCGTTTGTTGACTGTGATTTTTGAGGATATATATGTAATTTCATGGTCAATCGTCAGTTTTTTAAGGTTCTAGTTGCATTTCCAGACCGCACTGTTACATTTGAATCCACCGCCGAAAGCAATCTACCAAATCCGGTCGTCTTACTTCATCCTCCCTTTAGATTCAATGTAGTTGATTTCGTACTAGAGCGAAGAAGACGACGTGTTTCCGAGCCAGTGCAACGTCATCCTGGAGGCCTCCACGTGCTCCGACGAGAGCTTAATGTTCTTCTGGAGATCGTCGATCACGGTCAACAAATGGTCAAATAAATTGAGGACTAAATCGTGTCAAAATTACAAAGTTAATGACTTAATTGGTTGAAATTAAAAATCGAGAACCAATTTGTGAATTTAGCTATAGTCGAGGGACCATTTTATGTATTTACTCTTGATTATCTCAAATTAACGACTTGTATTAGTTCGAGTTTTTACTTAATGCCGTGTTCTCAATTGATTATATTTCTTAAAAATAAATTACTCGAAATTATGTTTTACAATTTATAAGACTAGGGAAACGATGTTATGCGCTAGGAAGGTGATGCCATGGACTTGAGGGTGATGTCATTGCCAGGAGGGAGATTGGGGTGGCCTAGGAAGGGGCGTGGATAGCCACGTGGCACACCTCACGGCGCATCTGTAACCTAATTGTAAATATGATTCGGACTCGACATCCTATTAATATTATCATTATTTTTCTCTCACTTTACTAATACTCTTCTCTAATATATATATATATATATATATATATATATATATATATATATTAACATACAGAATTAGAACATGTGCTTAGGTGAGAACGTGAAAACACATCATGTGCATCCATCTAATATTTTTTAATGGTCTAGATTAGATTAAGTGTGTGCGAACGCGCATTAAATGTGTGCAAACACACTAAATCGTATTTGCACACATTTAATGCGCGTTCGCACACACTTAATCTAATCTAGACCATTAAAAAATATTAGATGGATG